TAGTATATCTACTAAGGGTTATCTCGTAGTACGTATCCCGGCTAGTTATAAAGAAAATAATTTTTTCTAGAACTACTCGAGTTCGAACTCCGTTAACTAGACTATCTACCGTAGTACTACGGCATTTCTCCGAATCGAACCGAACGATTCTAGGATTACTAGCCGCGCGAGGGCTAGATCGCTTCCTAAGGAATACCTTTTAATGCCTTAATTAGTCGAGTTATAAAGTCTAGAGTAATAGCGTCTCGCGTCTAGATCGGTAGTGTTAGTGCTCCCATTAAACGGGATAATTTCTTCACCGATTAGTTATTTCTCTTAGGGGTAGAAGGTCGATTTACTAGCGACGGAGTATTCTTATCGAACTTCGTTTTACTATCTATACGGTCGTTACGACGACGTTGTTCTTACGATTCTTTCTTTCGAACGGCTGAGAGTCGAGTCTTCCTTTCGTACGTTAGTTCTTAAAACTTCTCGTCGAGTACTCCTTACGTAAATTTCTTATTTTTATTATTAATATTCTATAGTTCTTTTATCTAATTCTAGTATTTTTAAAAGTTCGAATTCTCTAACTTTCGATTCATTAAATTCTATTTCTTTCGAATCTTATCTATATAAGTCTTTAGTAATTCTAATAAAAGAAGACGATAATAAGTATAGTTAGTCTCGGCTCCGGTTCTAATTAGATAAGTTATAGCCTTACGAAATTAACGAAGATATAGCTCTAGACTTTAAGACTTCTCCCGTCGATGCTTCGCGAGTGCCTAAAGATATTAAACACTTATTATTCGCTGCACTTCGTTCCGATCTTTATATTCATCTAAGATCTTCTCTTTAAACTTTTCCTACTTCATTACGTTATACTTAGCGAGCTCTTTATAGCGTTCTTTCTCTACTTTAAATATAAAGCGAATAGATCTACGGATACGTTCTCCGCTCAATATAATCTAGTTATATTCACATAGTTCTTTAAACTCCTCGAAGAAAGAGATAGCGTTCTTCCCATTAAAGTATAGAAGGTTATTACTCCCGTTTAAGCTCTAAGACATTTCCCTTATTAACATTACGGTAGGAGGGACGTATAACGATTATACCGTTGAATCCGGCGTCGATAAATCTTATAAGCTAACACTTAATATCGTAGAAGGCCCTAGCTTTCCTTTATTATTCGATCCTCCCGTAGACGATATTTTCCTTTATTAAATCGTTCTCACTCCTTCTCTTATAATCGAAATAGTGTAAAATCTTAATAACGAAACTAAAAGATCTAGATATTTTATTATTTTTAGCACTTTTATTATTATTTTATTATTGTTTTATTATTATTTTATTATTATTTCTTCTTTTCTCCTCTTTATCTCTTCATCGACTTTCTCGTCGAGCTTCTTTCTTATCTTCACTAGTAATTTCCATTAAAATTCTAGATTCACTTCCCGGCCAGTAGCGCTCTAACTTCGCTCATTTCAGCGAGTTCAGTTTAACCGCTCATTTTTATCATTTCTTAAGTAGATCCGCGTTCTTCGACTCCTTCTAAGCTTCTTAAGTTAGGAGTTTTTAGAGTTAAACGCATTCCTACATTCCTGGGAGATACTTCTCTCCCATTTCTTCTAGGTAGTTTAAATAGTCGTTAAGTCGTTGGTCTCCACCTCACACAGTGGCAGTAAACATACACAGCCAATAATTCTAAAAGGCACCTCGAGCAGCGGTCTCCATGAATAGTCAGCGCAAACCGCTTCGTACAGCGAGATAGACTTACTTAGCTAGTGATCTAAATAATATACCCTGCGCAGCGATTCTACATATATAGCTAGTTTCTCTAGATTTAGTTAGATAGATAGATAGGCAATTCTTTAGTTCTATTAGTTCAGTAAGCAATTTATTTTAGTTATTTTTCGTAATTTTCTTCCACCGCTCGTAGAGAGACGCCCATCTATAAGTATTCGTCGAAGATCTTATTAGTGGCACCATTAAACTAGGGCGAGGCTACTAGCCATGAGCATTAACTCGTACGGCGGTGAGTATAGTCTCTTCTCAACGCGCACACTTAACTAGGAGAAGTCCTCTCTATTAGTAACTTAATTACTTATATATTGTATGAAAGATAGTCCCCCAGAACTATATAAGAAGAATTATAGTCTAGGGTCGGCGCCCCAGCTAATCATAACTCTATCCACCACTTCTAACTTCTTCCATTATAATAGCTCTAGACTTTAAGACTTCTTCCGTCGATGCTTCGTGAGTACCTAAAGATATTAAATACTTATTATTCGCTACACTTCGTTCCGATCTTTATATTCATTTAAGATCTTCTCTTTAAACTTTTCTTACTTCATTACGTTATACTTAGCGAGCTCTTTATAGCGTTCTTTCTCTACTTTAGATATAAAGCGAATAAATCTACGGATACGTTCTTCGCTTAATATAATCTAGTTATATTTATATAGTTCTTTAAACTTCTTAAAGAAAGAGATAACGTTCTTCCTATTAAAGTATAGAAGATTATCACTCCCGTTTAAGCTCTAAGATATTTCTCTTATCGATATTACGGTAGGAGGGACGTATAACGATTATATCGTCGAATTCGGCGTCGATAAATCTTATAAGCTAATACTTAATATCGTAGAAGATCCTAGCTTTTCTTTATCATTCGATTCTTCTGTAGACGATATTTTCCTTTATTAAATTATTCTCACTTCTTCTCTTATAATCGAAATAGTGTAAAATCTTAATAGCGAAACTAAAAGATCTAGATATTTTATTATTTTTAGTACTTTTATTATTATTTTTTCTCTTCTTCTCTTTATCTCTTTACCGACTTTCTCGTCGAGCTTCTTTCTTATCTTCACTAGTAATTTTCATTAAAATCCTAGATCTACTTCTTAGTTAGTAGCGTTCTAACTTCGCTCATTTTAGCGAGTCTAGTTCAATCGCTTATTTTTATTATTTCTTAAGTAGATCTGCGTTCTTCGACTCCTTCTAAGCTTCTTAAGTTAGGAGTTTTTAGGGTTAAACGCATTCCTACATTTCTAGAAGATACTTCTCTCTCATTTCTTCTAGGTAGTCTAAATAGTCGTTAAGTCGTTGATCTCTACTCTACATAGTAATAGTAAATATATATAGCTAGTAATCTCAAAAGGCACCCCGAGCAGCGGTCTCCATAAATAGCTAGCGTAAACCGCTCCGTACAGCGAGATAGACTTGCTTAGCCAGTGATCTAAATAATATACTCTACGTAGCGGTTCTATATATATAATTAGTTTCTTTAGATTTAGTTAGATAGGTAGGTAGGTAGTTCTTTAGTTCTGTTAGTTCAGCAAGCAGTTTATTTCAGTTGTTTTTCGTAATTTTCTCCCACCGCTCGTAGAGAGACGCCCATCTATAAGTATTCGTCGAAGATCTTGTTGGTGGCACCACTGAACTAGGGCGAGGCTACTAGCCATGGGCATTAACTCGTACGGCGGTGGGTATAGTCTCTTCTCAACGCGCACACTCAACTAGGGGAAGTCCTCTCTGTTGGTAACTTGGTTACTTGTGTATTATATAAAAGATAGTCCCCCAGAACTATATAAGAAGAATCATAGTCTAGGGTCGGCGCCCCAGCCAATCATAACGCTATCCACCACTTCCAACTTCTCCCATTACACTATATATTCGTGGCGCGTATAGTTAGTATACGTAGAGGAATGAGACTGGGAGAGCTGAAGTGAAAGGTGACACCGGATGACCATACTCAGCCCATATGTTCATAGCATCTTTGTATCGTCTCTTTGTTCCATCTTTAAGAGACTTATGGATAGGTTTACCATCGATCCCCGTCTTGTCCAACTCCGAACCTCGTTATTCTGCTCGATCGAAGAAGCCCTTCCGCCCTTTCGCCATCGAGCATATAAGTAGTACGGCCGAGAGCAGAGGGAAACTCGTTGGTAGAAAACACGCTTAGGAAGAAGAATAGTCGATGAGAGCCTAAAACGAGATACGTAGGGCGTGAGCGCTGTAGTGACGGCTGTAAACCCAACGTTCTGGCTAAATTTCCAGCCTTAACTATTAAGTGGAAGGGGAGTATGTAGCGAGCGAAGGGCGGCGTACTTATATCCTAGAGAACCAACAGAAGCCCGGCTTTCCGCCAGGCGTTCGAACGAAGTGGGCAGAGATCCATCATTGCCTTGTAAGAGAGCAGCGTAGGAGGCGCACGACTGAGCAGTTCGAGCGCACTAGAAATGGGGCCGGGTTGGGATCCCCCAGCATCCCAAACGGGTCCCATCGTCTAAAGTTGACGAAAGTTGGTGTTGTGAATGAAAAGGAAGAAAGAAGTCCAAAGAACGCAGTGCTCAGGCAGTCCTCAGGGAGCGCTCAGGGAGGGCTCCGGGAGCAGTAGGTGAGCCGAGGGTGAGTAGAGCGGCAAGCGGCTAATCAGAACGGGACGACGGAGGACAGGTTTTTCGCCTGAGACTACCTAGGTACTCGCGAACAAAAAACCTAATTGCCATACACGGTTTGATCCTAGAGGTGAGCGAAGGCTAGCTTAATCTGAACATTAACTGAGTCTTCTAGCTCAGCATCACTGACCACTTCCTGAGCATCACACTGACCTAGAAGAGGGCGCGTAATCTGACTCTTGAGCGATCGGCTAGTCGGCTATTATACCTGCCTCCTAGCTGGATATCTATTTCAGGCGGGCGTTAGGAAACCTAGTACGAGGTAGATTCGCTGTCTTTGCGCCGCTGCCTAAATTTTCTTGTAACCCTGGGCCTGGCGGTGCGACAGGTTGCGTGGTTGAATCGTCCGTCAAAAGGAAGGAATCATGGTGCTCCATGCACAGAGACGCCTAAAATCTCCGCTATACTGCGAGTACCTGTTCTTGCGGCCCACAATCTTACGTTGCGTCGAAACCACCTTCCCCCTTAGCAACCTATGGACTCGCGCCCATTCTGTTCTGAAAGCTGGAGATGTCCGAGATTTGATAAGTTTTCTCAAATGATTCTTATGCGAGACACCCTGCGAGCATGGCGCTTGCCGTTCGAAGTGCTGCACCGTTGCAACCAGAGACAAGGCTGGCACAGGTTCTCTCTAAATATGAAGCTCTGCTCGCGGACGGCGAGAAGACAAGATTCCGCGACCAGCAATCGGAACGACCTCCTACTGTCTCAGATGTGATGAAACTCACAGATGAAATCGATCGCAACCACAGCCGTCGCAGGAGTCGCCGCTGCTTTGGACCTCGCCTCATCAGTGTACTCGAAGCCGTCCAACAGTTCTCGGCCATTATCGACGCCATCATAGGAGGCTCTCAATCACTTATTGCAAGCGCAATTTGGGGCACGTTGAAATTGACTCTACAGCTGGCTTGCGGATTTGCGTCTTACTTCGACAATCTATCCGCTCTATTCATGCAGATCGGGCGAAACTCACCCCGGATTCAGGACTACGGCGTTCTATACCCAAAGTCTCCGAGGCTGCAGGTCGCCGTCTCAAATTACTTCTGGGTTCGGCATGCACGTGCAACAACGCACAAGGCCTGTCCAGCAGGTCGGGAATCGAGAGCGCGTTTCTGGCTGACACTGACAGGGCAACACCACCAACAACACCACCCCCATAGAGGCAGCGGCTACGGCAGCGAAGCGCCTAGCACGGCGACGGCATTGAGAAGTAGGAAAGGGCCGATGAACACTCAGGAATAGGTAGACGACATCAAAAAGCATGGAATACTGATACTCTGTCTAATTGTAAAGAATGGCACTCTTTCAGCACTGTAAACTGTCTCGCACTTCTCCCTACCAGCCCATTTTGGTTTGACATGTGACTAGACAACTTCCCTCCCCGCTAGCCCACCAGCCCAGCACAGCACAGCCACTTCGCCTTGTTACACTGTCGGTTCAAGTTTCGACATAGGCGCAACAAACGGGCAAAGCTTGCTCTCGCCGAGACTCGGACTCTTTCAAAGCAGCCTCGGATAACGTACAAGCCGTACCAGAAGCTTTGCCGCCCCTAGTACGCCGTGGTGATGTAATTGTGATGGCCGTGAGAGGCGTCAATATCGATCTCCAGGTTGCAGATGTTTGGGTCAATGTCAGGGGTTTGGTGGAATTGGCAGTGGTCGACAAGCGCGTCACGAAGCCAGAGGACGAAATGCGATGGGTTCACGAGAACTAGAACACATCTCAGACATCCTACATATGCCATCGGGATGCGCTTCAATTGTGCAACCGTTATCAATTATTCAATGATCTGTGGCCCCTTCTGAGGTTTGGAATGGCCTCGCGGGCTTAAATTTTATCCCGTCGTGGCTTACATGAGACTGGGAAGACTTCACCCAATGCATTGTTGCCAATATTAGGACAGGGTGAGACTCCAACGCAGTACGTCAAGTGCGGGATTGACAGACGCGACGTGGTTCTGGACACGCGAAACATTCATGTCGACACCCGACAACTTTCCCTTTCCGCTGGCTACAATCCAAACCAGCTAATAAGAGACCTCCGAGAAGAGCATCCAAACGTGAAATGCCTTTTGAAGATGATAAAATTTGATCCTGGCATATTTTATCCATCAACATAGCAATTCAGCTGTGGGATAAGTTTGGCTTATTTGAACTTGCACAAGGGTTACAAGTTGTGAGTGAGGAAAACCGTCTTTTGTCTAGACAGCAATATCCTCCTTGCACATGATGTGACAGCGCACACCCGCAAGACCATCATCCCTCGCGCTCCTGCAGTCAACTCTCGAGGATTTGCCGCTCCAAGACGAGAAGAGGCCATTACCGCGGCCACTTACAGCCATGTTTGCATCTGAACAACCTGAACAGTCTCATGCAAGAGCCAAGAGCTCCGACTGCAGGGCGATCAATCCTTCAGTCCCTGCAGAACCTCTCAACAAGAGGCCTGGCAGACGTCAAAAAACGAGGTAGAGTGGGTCTGCATCCGCAATTGCGATCCTTGCTGGTAGGCGTCTTAGGCCTAGAGATCATAATCCTCGAGGAAGCTTACCAAAAGAATCGAAATACAATGGAAAGGGAACTTCGAGGCATCATAATGCAGACAAGGATGGACACTGGTCAAGTTAGAGTAAACGCATGCTCAATATCCTCTTACGACAACGAAGAGACTGACAAGAAAAGGCAGAAGTGGTTTGAAAATCGAAGATACCAAGATCGACAAAAGCATATGCACTTCGAACTTAACCATTACAGAGAGGGGGGCACAAAATCACGAGAAACGCTGTAGAGGGAGATAAGACTCTGACAGAAGGAATTACGAACAGTCCAGACCGGGCAAGAAGTCAGCTATATCAAGGCCCTGTTCTTATTCCAGAAGCGCAATCCCAGGATCATTTCAATATCACCACCGGTTCGCTTTCTCCGTCAAGAGAAGCTAACCAAACAGCACGAGGCACAACTTGTCACACGTACGACGCCGGGGGGGATGCTGAGAATACGCAAGTACAAAACATACGCGAGGTCTCACCGTTACGCTGCCTATTACCAAACAGTATTGATAACTTGAGTGCCGCTGAAAGGGGCGGTTTTCTCCTCTCTCAGACGAAATTGCCATGCCGGTGGTCAGTTGAGTCTGAACACTGAGCCCTTGCTTTACACTAATAGGGTCTCGCAACAATCGCACTTAAGTCAGATAAAATCTTCGTTCGGAACAGATGGATTGTCCTCTGGCTATACCCATTTTCTTGACGAACATGACAACGCGCCACTTCTTTAGGGTGTCCATATTGCCGGACGCGCTTGTGGGCTTCCCCCGCACACCGTCAATCAGGGAGAACCAGGAGAAGCTGACGACGACGGCGTCACGGACACTGAACGGGATGTAGAGGCTGCAGAGGGTGATGCGAAGTATGGCTATGAGGAACTGACGTTCCTCTACCCAATGAGGATTCTTTGCCCGATATGTAATCGGATCGCAATGTGTGCTGAAACAGGATGCAGGTTCGCGTTCGGGATGACTCGTTCAGGACTTCATAGGAGATGGTTCCAGGTTGTACCGAGTACACCTCTGGTTCTTCGTCAGAGCAAGGTCAGAGTCAGCTTGAGAAGATCAGCCAGAGGCATGTCTTGGTAGTCGCTGTAACCCAATGGCGGACATGCCGATTCTACAGGGCCATGAGCCCGTCCGACTATTAGTTCAGTAAATTCACACAGGGGTTATTGACACTAGTCTGATGGCCCTCGGCCGAGGACGGGCGCGACGGTCTTTACATTTCTTGGCTACTATGCTAGTCAACAGTAGGGAAATATAGAGACGTGCCCCCCGGAAAGCGTATAGCAAGCCTCGTCTCCATAGAACTGGGCCTTGAGCGCGTTGATCACCTTGCTCTACCCCAAATGGAGTAGAAACTGCTCGCAGCTCACCTCATATTGAGATTATTGTCGTACCGCAATGTGCTTTACCCTGACTCGCGCCGACCCCGTGACAGAACGCCGGTTGTCAGACCCTACTTTTCTAGTGTTCCGCTGAAACGCATCATCTCGCAGAACGTAATAACGTCGACCGCCCGTGGGTCGAGGACGGGTTAATTTCCACACCGCATTGTCTGAGCTCGCGCCAACGAAACAGCTCATTTTCCAGATGACATTTCAGATGAGAGATTCCCACAGACACCAGTCGGTTTCATGAAGCCGCGTGTAAGTGAAGAATCTAGGTTCCTCCCAAAATTCGATGGGCTTGAATGTGCGACTCTAGAAGCTGCAAAAGGCTTCGTTCTCACTCGTCAGCAAATCTACCTCGAAACTAAGGGACCAAAGATATAACGTCCTTAAGCAAATTCTAATCATACTAAAAGTTTCTGAATCGTTAGCGCACGATCAACGTACGACAATCGTGCTGGAAGGAGGACTCAATGTCATCTCGGGAAGTCCCTGTCAACTGAGGCTGCTTACTTTGACTGTCGGCATATCGGAAGGACCAATCGTGGAAGCTGAGGGACAGACAGTTTTTCTTGTTGCCAACCACAATGTCAGCCATCGACAGGCCGGAATGGTTGGGGAGCATAAGCACACGATCCGTCAGCTCGAGGCTCAATCGTAGCCAAAAGCGGCAGATGACATAGTGAGAGATACAGGAGCCCTGGGAGATGGAGAGGATCCGTAGCCTGCCGCATCTGAAAACGATTCAACAGATTGGGAGTGTATCAGGCTTCTGTTGCCCGGCAGGTAAAGGTCGTCTCTGGAAAAATCAACTGAGGATATAGACGGAAACCAGATTCACAAGGAAGTCAGCATGTGATGTCTGATCGTTGAAGCCACCCCTCGGTAGCTCGATCCTGTCATGCGTGTCTGCCAAGGTGCCCATTCTCAAGTTGATTCGACGTTTCGCGCACGCAAAGAAACGAAAACGTTGAATATTGTCGATGAAATCCCACATACACAGGAAGCCATGTGTGTTTTTGCATTTGACCATTCAGATAAACGCCATCTTCCCCAGTCAGCACTCCGCTCACTGGACTAATGCGTAACTTGAGCTGAGGACCTAATGACCACCTCGTGGGCCAATACTATCGTTTCTAGAGCCTTGTCTCTCAGCGTCCTGTGAGAAAGGCAGCATCAGCCTTTGAGTTTCTAGGTTGGCAGAGCAGTGGGGTATTGATGTTAGATAAATACGTACCCATTTCTCTTGCAGAAGACCATTTCCTAGAATCACCCTGATAATTTCCTCCTGGTCGTTGGTCCCAAACTCCTCATCGAGTAGTGCATTCGAGGCTACAAGTAGTTGTCCTTGATTTCCGTGCCTAATCCGAGGCATATTGGTATTTTGGGGTGGTCTTCCGAGTAGTTATGAGAGATAGGGCTTACTTGTGAGTAACAAAGATCTCAAATGCCTTAACAACTTGTACCAGAGGGGTGGTCTGATCCGCCTTCCACTTCTCGACGGCTTCTGGATTGTCAACAAAAACGACAAACTCGTTCTCTTTGCCCTTAAAGTAAATCCTGGTCTGTTTTGCTTCTCCACGAGCCATGATCGCTATTGCTTCACGAGTTCCAAGATTCGCTATTTGCGTTTATGTAAATGTTGGCAGAATGCATCAGTGATTATCGCGCGTTGAGAGGTGAGATGGAGTGAGTGAGGTTGGGGGAACTCTCAAGCTTGGTGTGCGTAAATGGCGCTCCGAGTTACCCTTGACAGATAAACCTGTTCTATAAGCTGGTAAATTACCTGAAATACAGTGCAAAAAGTTAAGTTTCTTAGAGACAAGTGCACACACGACCAAGACCCTTGCGGACACACATGTAGGCCCACACGACGAAATGCCTTTTGCCTGCAAGTGTTGGGGGTTGTGGACGAGACTTCTCGGTTGTTGCGCCGACACAAGGTTCACAAGTTCTGGGTTCTGACTTACTTAAAGATGTAAAGCAAAGGGTGTAGGGCCTCTCGCTCGCACTGGCGGGGGGAGAAGGTGAGAAGCGTTATGAAGGGAAGTAAAAACAGGACAAGGATAGATAGCTGGAAGGAAAATTCGCACCAATAAGTGAAAATCGTTTATTTCAGTGTAAGGGGGTCGTTACAAGGATTCAAAAGGAACACGTCAATTTAGCAGGCCACCCTAGGGAACCCAACTAGCCGCGGTTATTCCTACGAAGGCCATATTGTCCCATATATGAAACCTAGGAGTTGGCATTTGTTGTCAAAACGATCAACTTG